TCTTTGAAATTCTGGCCTGAAATGAGTTGGCATTAGCGCAGGCATTGTCTCCTTCCAGAAGCATCTGTGCCTGTATTCCCTGCTGAGGGATCCATGGACTCTCTGGCTTGAGCCAGGGAGATGGAACTCCTGTTTCCTGCAAGATATTTCCCAGCACCATGCAGTCAGGCAAGTGAAGAGGGCTGTGTCTCTGTGGTAGCAGGGAAAATGCAGTGTAACATTGGAAAAGGAGCGGAGATTCTCTCCAGAAACCGCCAGGCAAGTCCGGCAGGAACTTTGAATATGGTAAGCATATGGCTGCTTTTCTTTGAGGGGCTCACCTGGTTTGGGGTGCAGTTTTTCTTTGGTTTTAACTATTCAACACCCCGAAACCATTATTCTGACCTGAACAGGCTGCTTCATCCTTTATTTAGAGCTTGATTTCTGGGTTGATGAGAGCAATAGTGCATGTGTCTCTTTGCACTTGGCCATGTTGCATTGCAATGCTTATTTTTGACAGAAAACATTGTAACGCTTAGCATGTTAATAAGAAGTTAAAATGAAAATAACACAGATATGTATCCTTCGATAAATTTGGACTTCAGACCATATTCTCTTAAATATGATTATGCAGTAGGGATAGCACCATTTGTATAAGTGGTGATGAATAACTGCTTAAGGCAGCATGTGAAACATGACTGGGAAATTGTACAGGCTGGGGTTTGAATGCCAAACCTGCGACTTTGCAAGAACACCACTTTAGCACCTTGTCTTTGGAATAGCTTCTACTTTCTTAAAGGATCAGTAAAACCAACCAGGGTGCCGACCAACTGAGATTGATGGTAAATTTTACTGAGAGATAATCATCTCCAGACAGAGCAGAAGAAAGGACAGAGAAGTGACTGAAAATGCCATCAAGAGAAGATTGTGGAGGAGAAAAACCCTTGCTTGTGGGTCCACAGGTCTGGGAATTTTCTTCCTCGGTACTTCATCCGGAATAATTAATCACAGTAATAGACAGGCAGTTCCTTAATCTTAACTTTCAAACAGGCAACATCTTGCCTTAAGAAGTTTGATCCTGAAAGGAAAGGAAAAACTGATTAGATTTGGACTGAGAAAATAAGAGAATAGTTTGGCTGAAATTCTCCCAACATAATGTTGGAAACGGACCACGAAATGCCATTTGAAAATTGAGCTGCATCTTTCTAAATGTAGACTAGAAGCAATTGTTAGTGCAAACTTTTTAGACAAATCTGAGCTGCAAATGGGGTAGTGAACTTCAGTATTGTGGTGTGGTGTGGTGAGGCCTGTGGTACCTGGGTAATGTGTATTGTCTCGAAGTGGTCTGCAGAGGAGCTGTCGCTCTTCCCTTGTGTACGTGTTTGCTGATTTATAAAAGTCATAGAAAAGCAGAAGATTCCAATAATAAATTTGCTCATATTCACTTGAATCTTTTTCATCCTTATTGATAGTGTTGTTAGTCTTTCTTTTGATATCCCAGACACTGTTAGTAGTGCTCTCACCAGCAGTAGGGTAAGCAAAGTAAGAAGGAATTCCTCGGCACAGAGCTTGAATGCGTTTTCCGTACGGGCGCAAGCTTTGGAGTCTGTTCCTTGAAATAATGAAGCGGTTCATTCTGGGTGGAAGTTGCTGAGAACTCAGTCCCTAAGCATCAAAGAGAGAAACCCAGAAAACAACATTCAGAGAAACCAAAGCCCTGCTGAGAAACTTGTCATCGGTTCTTGGAGCCCTTTCTCCTCTCTGTGGGCCAGGAGCGAGTGCTTCTCCCAGGCAAATGATTTGCTCTCTCAGCACTGTCCTTCACCGTCCTACCTGGTGTGCTTGACGTGGTGCAGGAAAGGGTTTATCAGACCAAAACCTCTTGTCCATGTTAGAAATGATGCAGGTGTGTTTTGAAAATACCTTGGTTGCTACGTAGCCCTGTTGAAATAAAAAAAAGCTTTTTGTTGCAAGCAATATGCAGTGGAAGATAAGCAGATTGCCAGAGAGAAGCCCTGGTTAGAAAAAAAGGCTTTCTCCAGTCCAAATAACGATAGGGAAGGAAAATAATGGTTTTTTCAAGTATGTTGTTCAAGTGAACGTGTCATGGAGTCTGACGAGGGACTTTGGGAAAAGGTAAACTGCCTTCTCCAGTAACGCCACGTGTATGATACGCTGTAGTGCTTGGGTCAGGGGAAGGAATCCACTGCCCAGAGCATCAGTGCAGCAGAAACCATACAGTAGTGAAATGGGACCATTCTTCAGCATCTCCTGTAGAATGTTGTTAAATTTCGTTGAAGCTTAGGTGTTTTTCCAAAGGCTTTTGGTCATTTTCCCATTTTTTTTGAGCCATGGTGGTGCCCACTTACAGTTGTGTCGTCCCAGACAGATTTCCAGTCCTCCAAGCCCTCCTTTGAGTGGGTGCTGACCCCGGTGTCAGTGAGAGAGCGGTGTGAGCGCTCACCGTGATGCCCTCGCGAGTTGTTCTTGCCATTCTGATTTTTGAGAAAGATGAAAGGAAATGAGGGTTTGGCTTTGTGGATTTGGCTCAATAAAGCAGTGGCTGCAGTGACCAGGTCTTGGGAAATGATTGCTCTTGGAGATCTGCTTAAAGGGGAGCTGCCTTCTGGCCTTAGAGGGGAGGCTGGGAAGCCATCAGTGTTGTGTCAAGCCTTACATTCAGGCTTTATCTCGCCCTGGTTTTCATGTGTCTGAATCATCCACCTTAGGCAGACAGACACACTTTCACATTACGGGATGTTCAGCATCAAGCTTGCAAGAAAAATTTCTAGGAGAAGTAAAATAGTTCCTTATTGTTCTTTCCCCAGCAGGAACTGCAGGCAGGGATTTACTTGGAGTATTTCACAGTATTTTGTGGTCAGATCCTTCATTGTAATATTTGTGTCTCTCCACGCACTTGCTTTTACAAGTGTTCGTGCTAATCTCAAGACAGACTTTGTTGATTTAATATCTAGCAACTGTCCTTTTCTCTTCATGTATCAAGGCCTGAAATATTGTCTTTGTTTTAAGACAAATGCAGTTTCCTGCTACATGTCAGGCTTTAGATACAGTTTTCTTTTCTGTAACGTGTTTTTCAGAGGCCAAAGCCACTAGTTCTTATCGCAGCCGTTTCTAGTTCCATGTAGCTCTGTACTTACCCTGTTGGCAAGAGCTGGAGCCAGGAAAACTCCAAGAAGAGAAGCAATCACAATCTGAAATGGACATTTGAAATTCACAGCACTTTACCATTGGAACTGTTTATCTTGCATCAAATTAAAGTAATTTTGCCTTCTAGTTTAAATTTTGTGCATGCTTAGCACTTTTCTGAAGTGGGGTCTAGCTGAAGAGTATTTAAACACACTGAATTTTTTTTTTATTAATGAGCTTACATCAGATCACCAATTGATATAAATTACTGTTAACCTCAGCAGAATACTTTGCACAGTTAAAGTATGTTCTGCCCCAGTTCGGTAAACTCCTTGGAAAAAGGTGGTCTGAAATATCTTGTTTAAAAGATTGAACTTTTCGCCCTGAGCTTTTGATTTCATAGAATCATAGAATGGTTTGGTTTGGAAGGGACCCTATATATCATCTGTTTCCATCTCCCTGCTGTGGGCAGAGACCCCTCCCACTAAATCAGGTTGCTCAAAGCCCCGTCCAGCCTGGGCTTGAACCCCTCCAGGGATGGGGTGCATCAGACATGGAGCAGATCCAATCAACATCCCTGTGTGTGTGCAGCTATTGAGAATAATTAGACTGTGGGTGCACAGGTCAGCTCTGTACTCGGAACAGAGCAGAGACAGGACTTGGCCATCCTCACAGCAGGAGCCTCCGAACACAGGGCTTATAGTATAAGGGTAGGCACAAACATTTTGTACAAAGAAATGCAGTGCTAAACACATAGTTACCCCTTTATAAAAAAATACTCTTTCACATGCTTGCTGTTGCTCAGATTTGTCAAAACTACTGCTGATTTATTTTTGAAAGGTTTGATATTATTATTATGATTATAAATTCTTTTGCAATAATACTTATTGTGAATGTTTATTCTCTTGGAGACAATGCCTCTAATGTTGAAGCTGTCACAAATTTACTTCAAAGGCAGCTTTTTATGAGGAAGACCAAAGTGTGACTCAGAGCACTTAGCACTAGCATTTTGGAAGTTTTTTTGGAAGAATTTCAGGCTGCTGTAAGTACCCCAGCTTTACAGCCACACACTTGGAGTCTCTCGGGTCTCATGGTTCTTGTCCTATACTCCCATCAGACAGCTCTGCCACAACTTTATGTCACTTGCTGAGACTTGCATCGGAGTTGTAAAGGAAAGAATATTGCCCTTCCAACATTTCACATGTTCTTCTTGCCTTTGTACCAGAGCACTTCTTCATATTTGAGTAGGTCTATGGAGCAAAGTCAGTGCCGAAAGTGAAATTTCACCCATGCAGTCCCAACACATTTGGCATTTTTACTCTGTAATCCCTACACTAAACAGTAGTAGTTCACTAGGCACCAAGAAAGACTCAAAATAATTTTAAACCTGTCCAACCTTTAAAGTTTTATGAGAAAGTGATAAATATACTTACAGTGAGCTTCATTTTGATGGCAGGTGAGGCAAGATCTGCAGGTAATTGTTGTGTACTCTTACTTTTTATACAGTAATATCCCAAAGTTAAATCTTAAAATGGGTTTACTTTATTGGCACGTGCCCTGTGTTCACAGAATCATGACAAGTTTCCTGGGGAAGTGCTCTGATAAGAGGAGGCTTTGATACCAGCTTGATTGAGTTCATTACACACGGGAAGATGAAAGAAAACTTGTTATTGTAACTTAAATGTATTTTGTAGCAACTCTTAAATAACAAAAAAAACCAAACAAACCAGAACCAGAAAATAGATGCCTAAGAAAAATTTGAGCAACACTTAGCCTACGTGGCAAAGGACTCGGCCTCATATTTTATCCGTAGCTGTTACCATCTTTTCAATCAATGAAGGTCGTAATCTTGCTGTGTTAAGAATGTTAGGTCTGTTCCCAGAAATCATGAAGTTGGTTCTAAATCATTGAAATAACTGAGTTGTTTTGTTAACCTTCCTTTCTGAGCTCATTCAGTTAGGATCTGCTTGCCAGACTTCAGGCACGGCCTCTGTATCTTCACAGAGCCTCTTCACAGAAGTAATACCTGATGGTGGACTAAGCGCTAATTCTAGAAAGGGACCATAAACTAGAAATAACAAGAAATCACTAAGGGAGGAACAGTAACAAAGGGCATTTTATGTCAAGGAGTATTTAGAAAGCAGATTTCAGTATTTCTCTGAATTTGAGAATTATGCACAGAGCCATGGCTCAAGAGCTGATTTGCCTTGTTTGCTGCAGAAACTTTGCAAAACATTTTGGGTTTTGAATTGGCCAGTAAAAATGCCGGAGTCTCTTTACCTGGGAATATTGTCCGTTGCTGTTCAATAAACCGAGAGAGAGATTTATGTGTAGCCTCAGAGAATTTGGATGCGTTTCTCAGCTGTGACTGTTACAGAAGCCGTGCTGTCAGAAGTGCTTGTTTTCTTTCCCCCAAAGTGCTTCTTATTTACCAGCAGCTCTGTCAGTCCCTCTGTTTGCTAATTGTGCCCTTTACTGTAGCTCAGTTTGGGTTTGCACACTGAAGTTTCCTTTTGGTTGCCAGAATGGCTTGATGGAGACTCAGTGTCCCCATTAACTCATGTCTCTGTTTGAGGGAAGGTCTCCGCTGTCCCCAGGTGCTGAGGACCATTGGGTCAGGTGTTAGTGGAAAAGCCAGGGAATTGGACTGTAGCTGAGCAGGCGAGGCCCAATTCTCATTTACACCCATCTCATTTACACTCTGTCATTCCGCTACTCCCTGATGCCTTGCTGGGACTGTGTGAGTGCAGCCCGTCTGCCAGCGCTGGCAGCGGAGAGCTCTGGGATTCATCTGTTTTGCACCCACTTTGCAGTTTGCACGAGGTGTAAAACATGGAGAATGAAAGTAATGAATTACTAAGGGAAAAAATTGACAGCTCTTCTAATGGGACCCATTTGTGGATGCCAGGTGGAGACAGGTATGTCCGTGGCCTCCAAGATCCAAATGCACATCAAAGTCTTATTTTGTGTGTCACAAAACCCTCTCGTAGTCTCTGGAAATTTAACTAATCGACTAGTTCTCAAGAAAGGTACTGAGAGGCTGTGTAACACTAATCCCTCTGGTGTCATTAGCAAGGAGTTGGCAATCAGTTTGGTCCATGTCTTCCAACAGCCATAGCCAATTTGGCCATTACAGTAATGCGTCACCCTTGGAAGCCTTAATCTCCAAATCTTCCATCAACTTCTGATTACCGGAGCGGTTTGTATGGCAAACACACACAGCTGGAGCACTTGACATTGAGAATAGCTTACACAACTAATTACACTAGTGGAAGCCAGGAAAAAGGGCAGGGAGGGGTGCTTTTACTGTGTAAGACTCTGTTCTGTGTCCAGGACAAGCCTCTCTTGGTCTCATTGTTAAAGCTCTGCTCAAGGCAGTCTGTTTCCATCCTAGGTTCTTGTACCACTGTGCAACAAACGGTTAAGGCTAAGAGGTGTTCCACTTTTAACCCTATTCTCAAAATAATGTTTCATTTTGTCCACACGTGGGTTTTTTTTCACATTTTTGTAGGTGGTACTGCCTAGCAAAACTGCTGAATTGATTTCTGGATTCATCCTTGAACCTTGATTTATTATTTGACTGCAGAATGTGATTAATTCTGCCTGACCTGTCCTTTGCTACAGAGATTTTTCTAGAATGTGCACCTCTTCTTTATCTCATGTGTGACATGCCCAGCTGGACGCAAATGGAAGCACTGAGAATTTTGTTGATTTTTTGAGGTGTTCCTTCATTCTTTACTTTTCTCCCACGACCTGCTCACTCCCTGATAAAGTAAATATTTATGAAAAGTACCTGGGGAAAAACCCCATGAGTCACCAGGAGGCTTTGTTTTGATAGTATAATCTCACCTTAACTTGATTGAATCCATTTCCCTTATGTGTTGAAGTTCTTGTTTTGCAACCAGACTTGAATTGAAATTGTACAATTATTCTTTTCATTTGATGTTCAAGATTCTTTCACTAAAATGATTTTTAGCATATGACAGTGCCAGACAGTGCCAAATAATGGGTCAAATTCTGGAAATTTTACTTACATAGATTAATAGGAATGCTGTAAATTAATCTTGTTTCATCGAGGTAAGTCACAATTTATTTGAAAATACTTGGCCTTATAAAAAGAACAGAGAAAATAAGTTTCCTTTACTTAATTTTACTTCTCAATTAAGTCTCTTCTAACTAACTGCACTCTCTGAAATTAATGGCATATTTTTCAGACAGTGTCAGCTTCTAGCAGGTATCCTGATGTTTATAGTGAATCCCAGGGAATGGTACAGAGAGGTCTCTTGCTTGTATTTATTCCTCTAACAGCAGTCATTAAACTTATGGACTGAGTTGGAGGGTTGGGAGGAGAAAACCATGGAGGGGTCGCCCCTGCGGGGAGGACTGGACAGGAGAGGTGACCCAGAACTGACCTAGTTATTCTTTTCATTTGATGTTCAAGATTCTTTCACTAAAATGATTTTTAGCATATGACAGTGCCAGACAGTGCCAAATAATGGGTCAAATTCTGGAAATTTTACTTACATAGATTAATAGGAATGCTGTAAATTAATCTTGTTTCATCGAGGTAAGTCACAATTTATTTGAAAATACTTGGCCTTATAAAAAGAACGGAGAAAATAAGTTTCCTTTACTTAATTTTACTTCTCAATTAAGTCTCTTCTAACTAACTGCACTCTCTGAAATTAATGGCATATTTTTCAGACAGTGTCAGCTTCTAGCAGGTATCCTGATGTTTATAGTGAATCCCAGGGAATGGTACAGAGAGGACTCTTGCTTGTATTTATTCCTCTAACAGCAGTCATTAAACTTATGGACTGAGTTGGAGGGTTGGGAGGAGAAAACCATGGAGGGGTCGCCCCTGCGGGGAGGACTGGACAGGAGAGGTGACTCAGAACTGACCTAGGGGGTATTCCATCCCATCTGCATCATGCTCAGTATAAAAGCTGAGCGACCAAAGGGGTCACCCTCTTTCATCGATGGCCGGCGACCAAGGAGGACTCTGTTCTTCCACCTCTGATCCCAATCTGTGCATTCCTGAATCCAGTTCCTGAGTTCAGCTCCCGTCCATTGCTGAGTCCAGTCTGGGACTTGCCCAGTGTGGGCCCGTGACGTGATCATCCTGGGAGCTTGATACGCTTTTGCATATCTTGTATGTATTTAATTATTTTCCTATTAATATTGTTATATTTTCTTTCTATGAATAATATTTCTTTAGATTCTTTTCAACTCATAAGTCTCCCTATCTCTCGCTCTCTCTTACTCTGCCTCCCTTCCCTGACGAGGGATGTGAGGTTAAAGGGGACAGAGGTTAAAGAGAGCATCTGTCATTCATTTTAGTGGCCAGCCCAGCCCAAACCACGACAGATTTATTGGCACCCAGCGTGGGCATGACCAGCCTCTGAGAGATCGCCTGGTTTCTGACGTGCTCAGTTCAGAGAGTATTGGACTTTTTTTGCACGAAAGTCTTAAGGGCTTGGAAATTACAACCCAACAGCTCACGTCATGTTGTTCTTGAGCAAAATGTTATATCGTGCCTTTGTAGAGTTTTATTTAATGTTATTTGATATAACACTGCTTCTTGTTAGGTGTGCGTGCATGAATTAGAAGAAATGGCTGAAGAATCGGTCTGTCCAGTGGCTGGCACATAGCCCAGCGTGACATAGGTATTTCTTTCCAGGATTTGTCTGCAGACTGTCAGGCTGTTAGGGATTATATTTTGGAAGACAAAATGCAGTTTGTATGAATGAATAGCAGTATGAATTATTCCTGATGACGTTTAATTCTGGACTATACCCTGTTAAGTATTTAAAAAATGGAAGCAACAAGAGTGTGAACTCCTCATGGGTGTAAGCCAATAAATAATAGCCATTTAGAGTGATTGATTTTTCAAAAGCTGACTTAGTGAGTGCTTTTAACCTATCGAGGTCAGGTTATCTGTGCCAACCCAAAATTCAGATATGAGGCTTACCACAGTGTGGCACGTAGATATGGACTTGTTCGAGTCATGAAGAAAACTTCTGTCAATTGTTTCCCACACCTCCAGCATGATATAAAAGTTGAAGGTCTCTGGGATTTTCTTGCATTCTTACTTTCTGCAGCCTCTTGTTCTTATCTGAAAGAAAAATGAACAGATTTGTGAGTATATCCATTTTTACTGAACTCTAAAAGTTCCTTATTTTTAAAAGCAAAGAGATAGAGAAGAAGATGCTCAAGTACTGGGACTAATATCTGCGTATTGTTTCTGTGGGTTGTTCAGTGGGAAACTTGCATTTCTTGGGTGTGCAGCAATCCCCAGGGAGTCAGTGGAAGCATCATTTAAGCAAAGAGTGCAGAACTTGAATTGCAGTTCAAAATGGGGGATTTAGTTTTTATTTAATAATTACACTTGTAGAGACATGTCAAGAAGTAACATGATATCAAGAAGTGTGACATGAAAAATACAAAAACATGCAATGTTAAAGTTCTTGTTCTGCTTTTTCAGTTACAGCCAAAAGAGAGCCTAAATGCAAGAATTTTACAACAAAGAGCTATAATTTGTTTTCAGCTAATACACGTGTTAAGTGGATCATTTTTCAGACTGATGCTACAGCTGCTTCCCTCAGTTCAGGAACTGTTTGGGGGCTTTTATGGCACTGCCTGGTGTTTCTGCTGAGTGAGAATGCTTATTCCTTTCACAGGCTGCCGTCCTCGTTTTGCTGGGAGTCTTTTGGACTCAGAGCTCTGCGTTGGAGGTGAGTAGGCTGAGGAGTCTGGTAGTGCAGGTACTCCTTGGAAATGCATGAGATTCCTGGGCAAGGGGTGAATAGAGTAGGAAGGAGATCACAGAAGCAGCATCAGCCAAAGCGGCAGCTGTGTGCACCTGCATAGTAACAAGGAATTTGGGAGGGCTTAGGTCCCCAGAGCTCAAGCTAAAATCCAGAGCCTGTTGCCATCTGCTGCCAGTCCCTGCTGCCAGACATAATGACTGGGGTGCCCACATTGTTTTTCCTTGGGCTGAAGTGAGGGCCTGTCCCCTCCTTTCTCAGCCTGACTCATTCTTGCATGGTTTATCTCCACCCCAAGGGCCTCCTGGACCTGTGAGGGAGCTGTTAAGGGATTTAGAGTTCACAAAAAGCAATCACGCTTGTTTATTTGAGAGAAAGCATTTCTTTATATTGCACCTGGTGCCAGCCAGATAATGAACAATGATTATTTTTTTTTTACCTGTAGAGCTTTTCCCTGCTAGATCCTCAAAATGACTACGTCGCTGGAACTATGACTATTGACACTGACAAGCGCGTTGTTCTTGTCCATGTCCGTTCTGGCGTGTACTCCTCTGATACCATCATTGACTACGCGCGTGTAAGTAAATCTAAGAATCTGCCAAGACTTAATCTCTGAGGAAGTTTTTAAACTTGGAAATTGTTTTAATGTATATCACCATGAGTTGTAGTGAAAGGCTGTTTCTTTGAAGACTCACATCACTTTTCCTCCTCTTTGTTTCACCCATATCATTGCTTCAATGGTGCAGTTTCAAAGACTTGTAATGAAACCCATGGTGGCGGCTGATGAAAGTGAACAGAAAGTCATTGACCTCAGCGAGGTCAGAGTTGAGAATGGGCAGCCATTGCTCCCGTATAGCACGTGTCACAGAAGTTTGTCATAAAAAATCCTTCCAGTCCGATGGACAGACACTAGTGTGGGCAGGCTGCTCCCATTCCCCAAAGGGGACAGTGCCAGAGTCATTCTGCAGTAGTGGCCTGTGTAGCCACTTGGTGTTGCTTCTAGGTTGTCCTAAAAATTGTAGGGAGAACCAACTAATATTTGTGGTGGCCATTTTCAATTAATTGATTGACTATGTTTTTTTCTTAATCGCAGGGATATATTGCAACAAGGTTATTTTCACGAAATGCCTGCTTTATCATGAAAATAAATAAGCAATACATCCCAGATATGCAAGAAATGGGACGTCTGGCTTTTGCGAGAGAGGTAACTTTGTAGGAAACCCATACGGTGTACGAGATAGGCCACTGTACAGGAGTTGCGTGGTGTGACGGGAGCCCTCCAACCTGCCTTTAAGAAGGGCTGTTCTTAGGAATGTCTTTTACTGTGTTAGCAATGATGAAGCAGATCTGACAAGACAGAACTTCAAGGGAAATTCCTACAGAACATTATTGTAAGATAATGAGGAATCATGACTCCACCCTGTGGTTTTATAATGGACAATCATGTGTCCTTGAAGTGCTGGAATTTGACTGGTTTGGGGTGATTGCAATATGAGTTCAGGCAGGCTTCCTGAAGGTGGCTGGAAGTGTTGGCTGGAGATGGACTTGAGTTCTGGGCCAATTTCTGGCCCAGCAAAATTGACTGCACGTTAACAAAGCTTATTATGGTAGTAAACCAGCTCAATTTTGCTGTGTTGACAGAATTAGTATCTAGTGAACTTTGAATAGATTGAAAATCTTTATTGTCTTTAAGAAGATGTAGCTTCTGTAGCCAATGCTTTGTATGAGTCAAAGGAAGGTGACATTAGGCTTTGGGATTTTCTCAAAGGGTGTCCTAGTAGAGTGAAAACAAAGCTACATTACTGATGATGTCTAACATTTTCTTTTCAGACTATGAACACCGTATACTCTCCAAATAATGTGTGGGTACAGTTTCAATCTGGCGATTCCAGATTTGGGCGTATGAAAGACTGGATTGTCTATGGTAAACCCATTGAACAACTCTGCACAGGTCTGCCTCTCTACCAGCTTGTAAAGACTGAACGTAAGTTCCTCAAGTTAAGTTAATTATGCTTCTGTTACAGTGCACAAGCACTTTTCTAACCTTTAAGTGGCAAGTCCATGTGGTACATGTGAGGCGGGAATATATTTCCCTGTTTGAGAGAGGTCCCACAAGGCATCTACTGTGTGCCAGCACGCTGCCTGCTGTACCTAAGGGAAAGGAGGGCCACAAAGGTGATTGAAAGCTGTTCAGACATTTCCCCCTCGGAGTTACACCACTGAAGTTTTACACAGCATCCACTGAGACCAACAGGAGCCTCCAATACGACCATGACTAGGGATTGAAATTTGTGCATTTAACAGACTTGCTGGAAACAGGGGTCTCGTCACTGCTAATATTTTCATTTTCTTGTTTCTTCTAGCACTACCAAATTTTCATGGCTGTGCCAGTGCAGGAATTCCAAGCATATTGGGCCTTAAAATATGTGAAAAAATCAATCGACGTGAATATTGACAATTTTGCTGTATGGAACTGGCTTGATTCTTTGCATGCTTTTGTGGTGGTACCATGTTCTCCAACTGGAACAAAATGGTGCTAGACTCAGCTTGCCTCTCCTAAGCTTTGAGTGCAACAAACCTGTGATGTAGAAATAAAGATAATGCAGAAATTAAAATGCTTTGTCTTTTTTCTTCATCAGAAAGCAGAACAGAAATGAAGTGGGTCATAGATCTTTTTCTTCTGGGCATTTCTCAAACCCAGTCAGAGGACAACGTCCCAGTCCTAAAATGTTCATCACCCAGAATAAAATGGCCCTTTCACACCGTGCCAGTGTAAGAAGTGCTGTGGCCACTTGCTGAGTGCCCCACAGATGCTGGAGAGTAGTTTGTGTCAGGAGCTGATTAAAATACAAGTTGAGGTGGCCCTCGTGCTGTATGTTGAAGCAGAGCTCATTGGTGGGGTGGGAAAGGGGGAGTTGTAGTTGTGATGTTTGTTTGGCTGATGTGCAGGGCATTTGAAACACCTCAAAGGTGTTTTGAGAGCTCTGCTGGGCAAGAGTCGTCATGAGGGTTGTGACTGTCAAGGGTTTTGTGGTTGCAGTATCTAGAGAGGCAGTTGTTTCAAGACCTTCAAAAGTCAGTGGAAGCCCTAATCTAGTTTCCAAGTGACAACTTTCATGTCTCAAACCTTTGTTTGTGTATTCTTCTGTTAGAGGACATGGAAGTCATGGCAAGCCCCTCCCCTGGCCCAAGTCAGCCAAGCTCTTCAAAGTCTAGAAGATACCTTCCTTAATTATCTCAGGCTTTATATATGTTTGGATTATTTCTTTAAGGATGCTGACCTGACATCAACACTCCGGTGAAAGTTTCAAGACCAGAGACTGAAGTAGATGCCAAAGGAAGAAACTGGTAGAGCTTCAGCTGGCAGACTAGATGTACGAGCAAAGCTGAGTGTTATTGTTCTAAGATTATTGTTTCATTCAAAGTTATTTCAAATACTTAGTCATTGCAATCTGGTTTTCTGTCTAATTGCCATATAGATGGATCTGAACTTTTACTGTGTGTGCAGTGTAAGAATGGTCCTTTGAGACTCTCATCCCCTTGCTATCAATTTAATCAGAATTTGTGAATTTAAAGCAACCCCCTGTGTTCTATGTTCATTTACTAATGCCACAGTATTCTGAGACACGAGACATGAGGCATGAATTGCTGCCTTGATACTGTCAATGGGAAACTGAAGCACAACCAAGTCTGTGTGGTTTGACTGTTTTGGAAATTGTCCGTGACCGAGGCACGAACTCAGTCCAGCTCTTCAGGCTTCACCAATGGCTTAGAAATGTCCCTTTCTGTGGTCTGAGGGAATTGAATTTAAATTACAAGCAGATTTAAGGTTGTATGTTTTTTGTATAGAAAGTGTTGCTTATACATCTAAAAGCTTTTTGTGTTCCCTGCCCACGAGTTTCGAAGGTGGTGTTACAATCTGGGTAGATTTGTACTCAATACAAGAGCAAATAGTTCCACAAAGAACTCTGAAACAAGCCTCAATGCCTTCTTATCTGCCCTTTAATTTTGTTTGAGCTGGGGAGGTAGTGTTTCTGCCCTTCGTGTACTCAAACATGGAAGAAGATTGTTTCTAGCTTTTATTTTCATTCACAATCTCATAGTATCAGTGGGGCCTGTGAACAATATGTTTCCGCTTTGCCTGCTGTGTTTATAGTTTGATAAATCAGGTTAAGCTCTCCATCTATTCCCACAGCACCTCCAGTGCCAAGGTGCATGGCTGAGAGGAACCTCTTCTGGATGGAGCTCCAGGGAGGCAAATCTCTTGTGACGTTGCTGTGCCTTTTTGGGGGCAGTTCACAACAGAGAGAAAAGGAAGCGTGGGAAGCACATGTGCCCACCTTCTCCTTGCCCCTGTTTTTCAGAGGGTGGTCTGCTCTCACATGAGCACAGGGAAGGGCATGTCACACCTCTGAATTTCCAGACCTGGAACCTGGGCCTGTTGGTATCACCAACATATCCCTGATTTCAAAGATTGTACTAGAAATGGCTGCAGAGCCAAAGAAATGCAGTCTGAGTTTGGTAACTAACTACAGGGCAGGCAGGAGTGTAGTCAGCTCTGAACAACAGTAGAGAAAAGGCCCTATGCAGGAGAAAGGCTTTTGATGGTGTTCCTTTTTGATGAGTTGGCCAGTGCTATTTCCTCCTTTGCTGACTGTGCCACAGTTTACCATATATTTTAGGTACCTGTCTTAGACTGTAACTCATCTATGTTTCTTTTCTTGCAAGGTGACGGATGTTACTCCTGGACTAGAGGGAAAGACCAAGGAAGTAAAAAGCAGCAAGAAGAGGTAAAATGTCCCTGAAGACATGGCTCCATCTGTTGCCTTAAATAACTGTTTACAGTCTTTTTTAAAATGTTTCCCATCATAGAATCCACACCGTGTCAGCAAAGGGTCTGGACTGAATGTTCACAATGTGAAGGAAATAGATAGTTTTCCTTTTATTTGTCACTGAACTTAGACACGTGTTCTGTGGGATATGAAGCTTCTATGGTGCCAGGGCTTGTTGGGTGTCAGTGGATTTATGGGTTGTCTCTTGGTAAGGATGTTTGTACCTTGAGATCCATGAGATTTCCCACTGGAGTGGGTGGGAAATTCGCACTGATTTCCACAGGAGGGACCCACAGAGGATTGCAGCCACTTCCTGAGAGGGGAGCAGGCAACAACCCTTCTCAGAAACAGTGGGAGAGAGAGTCATGGTCACAGTCAACAAAGCAGAGGGCCCTTGTCCTCCTAACAGCTGCCTCTGGTTAATGTGCAGAGTGGGTTGTCCGTGAGGCTTAAGTGTGAGATGGTGAAAATGGCAGAGGCAACTGGTGGGTCTGCTTCAGGAGAGGGGCCAGGCTGAGGTGATCCTACCAGGGCTGGAGCCCAGCTCTGTCACAAACCTGAAGAAAGGAGCCAGTGCACAAGCTTAGACCCTGAAGAGAGAGTGGGGGAAGGAGTCTAGAGAGGAAGAGAGTATCAGGATGTGACTCTTGGTATCTTGAGCGTTACCTGCTCTTTCCAAGAGCTTCTCTCCATCCAAGTAATACATCAGTTTTGGAAGCTGAGCTCGCTTCTCATCTGGGCTTGTTCTAGAAGAGGTGGGGAATTTGTTTTGTGTGGAGGAGAGCCCATTGGGAGGGTGTCTGAGTGTGCCTGAGTGAGTATCTGTGTGCGTGTGCCCTGACCACTTTTGTAAGTTGAAGCAGTATTTATCCTCGGCTGGATATCAAACTAACGCTGATTATTTGCTCCCAGCTTTTTTTAAATGCCTGAAAGGTGTTTAAAGGCACGGCTGGTATCAGGCAGGCTGGGGTATCATTGGATGCACACTGGCAGGCAGCTAAATTATGTCAAGCATTTGGGGAGGGCAGAATTAGCACACATTCCAGTCCCATCTCCAGCTCCGCTGCAATTAACCTTTCTTGATCCTTGTGCCTATCAGTGGGCAGGAAGCCTCTGTGGTCCCTCAGTGCCGAGGACACTGATTTATCAGGTCACCTGCACTGTGCAGTAACCCAAGAGCTTCTTACCACTGACCCCATCCCACTGAGGGCCTCTCCCCAGCACCCCCAAGATTTCCCAGTGTACGAGACTGTTCCCCGGGGTCGAGGTGTGACACCTTTGCCAGATGGTGCCATGGTTTCAGAAGACAGACCTTGCCTCCTGAGCGTGTCTCTGTGAGCACTAAGCGCTGGGGAGCGGATTGCTGTGGTCGAGCACTGAACAGCAGGGCAGGATCCGTGGGCAAGGAGAGAAGAGGGTGCATCCCAGGAACGGGACAGGACCGAGGGTGCTCGGTTTGAATCAAGGCACCAAATCCTGAATACTCATTTTTTAAAGTATTCTCCAGAGAGGTGGGGAGCTGCCTTCTGCACATTTACTCTTGTCAAATAAGTAAAAGTCTTGGCCAGTGAGGCATACCAGATTTCCCAAGGCCTGGAGTGGTCCATGTCTGCTTTGTACTTGAGCTGAGCACCCAGTGGGATTGCCATTGACCACTAGATGGCAAATGGTCACCTCAGCGAGTTACTTCTTATTGCAAACTGAACCAGGGTTGTTACTAAGTGAGATCTCGCCGCTGTGAGGCTGGTGCAAACACTGATTGGGAGCAAAACATAACTCAAAACGAAATAAAAGGAATCGCTGACAGCCTGAGGCCTGTTCCCCGGGAGGTACAAGCTGAGTCATGATGCAGAGGATTAGAATTCTTTCTGATTTCCAAACCTTTGGGAGATTTGTGTTTCATGTGTCATTATGCCCCATTTGGTGACTAAATGAACTCGTTTCTGAACCCTTAATGTGGGTAATTTTTTTTCTCTTTGATAGATGTAGCAATATTCCATTGTGTAGTGAGGCATTGCATTTGCCTTATTAGGTTTATTATTGAAAGATTTCAAAACGTTCTGGGAACAGAAACAGCAAAGATTCACGAGATCTAATAGGAGTGAGTGAAATGTCTTTTTTCTTTCAGCAAAGGGATGTGGCAATGGAGGAAAGATAAATCTGACCATGAGCAGAGGTAAGGGGGGAGCCCTGCAGCCCTGTGTTGCTGGGACCAGGATGAGCGCTGATGTCGGGATATCAAGGAGGGTAGGCAAGTAAAGCAGTACAATGAGTTTCCCTGAGTGTGTTCTTGTGATCACAGGGTGACCTTTATGTCTGGGCTGTCCTGGGAGCTACGCCTCTCTCTGTTGTCAGGCTGTAAATCCTGCCCAGCAGTTCCCAGGTGTGACACAGCCTCCCTTCCCATACGGACCACGATAGTCACGATGCCGTCTGCTGGGGAGTTTCCCCTTTCTTCTGCTGGCTCCATTACACAGATGGTCACATAAGGAAAGTTACAGGTTTAAAAATATGTTGAAATTGAGACCTAAGGGTGCTAAGGCGTGAGCCAAGAGCAGTAGCCAATAACCTTTTCCATCCCCATGATAGGAAGCAGAGGCTGTTTTCCCCTAAAGAAGCTCCCCGATTCAGCAAGTTGCCCCGAGCACACGGGGAGGTGTTTGACAGCAGCACATTAAGCAATGTCCCTGGGTGCAATATAGTGAGAGCTGAGCCAGGGCACCCTGCCACTCA